TCCTCAGACTAAAGCAGTTGGCAAACAAGGAAGAGTAGAAGTTATTGGTTTCCCACCATGTGAGGTTAACAATTGCTCTTGGGGAAGGTGTGCGCAAAATTTGATTTGCTGCAAGAAAGCTCTGTCAGCCCACGGAGGCCTCCTGCCTTACCTGGTAGCCCTCCTCTCGTACTTGCGCACCCCCTCCACGGCTTCAGCGCTGCGCTTCTGCTCAGCATCAACCTCCCCTTCCAGCTCCCGCACCTGCCATGAGAAACCCATCTTTAGAGCTTCCCTGCTGCCTACTTATGTGACATGCTCACTCAGACACAAATACCAGCCCTACGCACTCTGGCCTCCAGCTTCTGGATTTGCTTCTTGCCTCCCTTCAGTGCCAGCTGCTCAGCCTCATCCAGACGGTGCTGCAGGTCCTTCACCGTCTGGTCCAGGTTCTTCTTCATCCTCTCCAGGTGGGCGCTGGTGTCCTGCTCCTTCTTCAGCTCTTCTGCCATCATGGCCGCCTGATGGGAGCAAAGGGTCAAAGCCATTTTGGGGCTGGAGACATTCTGGGGAGAAGGCGTGTATCTTAAGCATTGAAAGGAGCCTCCCACTCACATCTGTGATGGCCTTCTTGGCCTTCTCTTCAGCATTGCGGGCTTCCTGGATAGTATCCTCCATTTCACCCTGAATTTGGGCAATGTCTGTTTCCAGCTTCTTCTTGGTGTTTATCAGGCTGGTGTTCTGTTGAATAACAAAACATATTGTCCAGTTAGTCACAAAACAGACCACTTTTATTACAAATTCACTGTTTAAATTTAAAGTTATCATCTATATATTTAATATTAGCAACCTCCTTCAAATGATACATCTTGTCAGGTCATACACAGCTGGATAGCAGAGAGTTCTTCAAATTTTAAGAAGCACTTCTGACTCCTGTTAATGCAATCCTATTCTTTTAGCTATAATCCAATTTTTTGTATAAGGACAATAATTCTGGTATAGGTTAAGCTTTTTATTAGAAGAGATTACATAAGAATTTATGTGAAGTTTTCATTTAAATGAATGAAATGAATTAAATATAAATGAATTTTCATTTAAATGAAAAATCTGCAAAGGGAAAAATAATATGGCTCTTGAGATTTTCAATCTCATTAATCTAACCTGAGTGTGGAGGAGCTGAACTCTCTCACTTGCATCCATCAGTTCCTGCTCAGCCACTTTCCGCGACCTCTCTGTCTGCTCCAGGGCTGCCCGTAGCTCCTCAATTTCCTGTAGCTCCTCAACTTCAGCCTGCAGCAGGTTAGCTCTGCGCTCCACCATGGCCACCTGCTCCTTCAGGTCCTCCTGTGTCCTGAGAGCATCGTCCAAGTGTATCTGGGTATCCTGTAAGAGAGGAAAGAGATTATAAGGTGGCACAGCACTATTGCACAATGGCAATTACCACCAGTCTAATAATTATTGTGTTAGTATAATATATATATCTTTATAGATGTTATATATATTTATATGCAGAATTATTATGTCAGTATATGCACAGCACTTAAGAATGTGAGCATATTGATACATGGTATTATGCACTGTCCCAGGCTGAGTGACAACCCTGCCTAAATTTAATGCTGTGCAAGGGGAAGGTAAGCCTGAACTCAAACTCCAGCTGACTGACACAAGTAACTTACAAGGTGAAGCAAACTGGACATTTGTACCTACTTGGGGCAGAGGAAAGAATATGCCCCCATCCTCTGAAGTGCTCCTACATAAGAGACAGAATGCTCTGGGGTTGAAAAATTAAGAACACATGAGTAACTGACAGGATACAGGAAAATTCAACCGTGTACAGTTGATCCAACTACCCACTCACATTAGAACCAGTGCCAGCAGAAAAGCACATAAGCTATTAGCAATTGGAGTTCCTGACTTGAGAGGCACGCAAACACCCATTTCCCATCTAGACAGTTTCTTTAGAGAAGTTTGCTGCCTACAAGGAGCTTGCATTAAGTAAGGTCAAGACCCTGAATTTTAGGAGAGTGGACTTTCGGTTGTTTAAGGAATTAGAGGGTGGGACCCCATGGGAAAATACCTGCAGGGATAAAGGAGCAGAAGAGAGCTGGCAGCTCTTTAAGAACATTTTTTTTACAGTGCAAGAGCTATCAATTCCTGTATGTAAGCAATCAGGCAAGTAAGGCATGAGAACAGCATGGCTGAGTAAGGACCTCCTGGTCAAACTAAAGCGTAAGAAGGAAATGCATAAGCAGTGGAACCAAAGACACGTATCCTGGAGAGAACATAGGGATGCTGCCCAGATATGTAGGGATAGGATCAGGAAACCTAAGGCGTAGGTAGAGCTGAATTCCTGTTGTATTAATTTTTGGTGTGGCCTGACCTTGAGTATTATGTGCAAGATGGCCTTACCAGGGCAGAGGGGCTGGACTAGACAATCTTTGACAGTCCCTTTCAATCCAAACCATTCTATGATTCAATTTTATTATGATATTAAGCTAGCCACCTATGTGCACGTCCTTAGCTTAACATACCTTGAGCACTGCCTGTGTGTTTCTCAGGTTCTTTTGTGCCTCTGCAGCCACGCGGTTGGCATGGCTCAGCTGGATCTCCATTTCATTCAGGTCTCCCTCCATCTTCTTCTTCAGCCGCAGGGCTTCATTCCTGATCCTGATCTCGGCGTCCAGGGTGCTCTGCATGGACTCCACAATTCTGAGGTGGTTTCTCTTCATCTGGTCAATCTCCTCATCTTTCTCTGCTACCTTCCTGTCAATCTCAGACTTCACTTGGTTGAGCTCAAGTTGGAGGCGCAGGATCTTCCCCTCTTCATGTTCTAGGGAGGCCTGGATAAGTAGACCCAAAAATTTGTAACATCCATAAAGCTAGTGCTTGCTTTCTCGGTAATTACAGAATGTTTCAGGAAATCTCATCTGGTTGTGATCCACTCTCGCTCCCCGCACTTAGAGTGGGACCAAGCAGTTTTTAGCCATATTTCCCAATTGCTCATACTTTTAATGCAGACACCAGTGATTATGGGCATGTACCTCAGCTTCCTCCAAGGCAGCTTG